CTTATGCATGGTAGAATGCTATACTTGAATTTCAGAAAAGGGATTGCTGGGTCAAGAAGCATATGCATTCGGGAGCTTGGGTGGCTCAGGCAGTTAAGCGTCCGACTTGGCTCAGGTCTTGATCTCACAGTTCATGGGTTCAAGTCACACCGTCAGGGTCTGTGCTGACAGCTCAGAGCCTAGAGCTTGCTTCTCCTTCTCTCTCTGCCCCTCCCCAGGTTGCAATCTGTCTCTCTCTCTCCCATAAATAAAGATTTAAAAAAAAAAGGAAAAAAAGGAAAACAAACACAAAAAATGTCTTACTACATGACAGCCCCTTACCAGAGCTTTAAGGCTTTTCCATGGTATCTGTTGGAAAAACTAAGCTTCAATGGCATAGAAAGCCCTGCCATCCACCCCAACTTAGAGCTCACTCTGTCAAACTGTTCCCCTTCCATACCATTCACACTTTTCACCTTGGGCCTTTCTCAGGCAATTCTCTTTCTGTGTTCCTGGAACGTTCCTTTGTCCTCTGTGGTCTGGCTCCTCATAGCCTCTCAGATTTCAACCTGCAATTCCCCACTAACAGGACTTCTGACCACTCAACCAAAAGAAGTCATCCAGGCACTTTCTTATCACATCGCTCCAGTCCCTTTGTACAAACACCTACCTACTATGTTTATCATCTGCTGTCCCTGACAACACAAGCCCTCACAAGTAGCCTATGGAAGCCCAGGGAGGTTAGAGGAGGCTTCCAGAGGAGTAATGTTTGCCAAGCAGAAGACGGAGGGCGGACCGGTATTCCATGGTTATGGTTCAGCAAGTACAAAAACTTGGTGGGACCAAAGCACAAGCAAAAATTTCTAGGTGGCTGAAATAGAAGTTAAGACGGCAAGGGCAGGAATTGAGGCCAGAGGAGAAACATTGGATTTGCAAGCCTTAGGCTGATGCCCTGAGTGCCTCTCACAAAGCTTCTCTTTCATTCTTTGTGAAAGGATCTGGTTTGGAATGGGACTCAGATCTGAATCCTAGCCTCACCTTGCTGCCTGGGAACCACAGTTTCCACAGCTGATGGGCTGGCACTCAGGTGAAGCTCCAGTTTCTCCCACCCCCACTCCCTGCAGCCCAGGGCCTCTCCCTTTGTAGGCCAAACACCTTCCTGTTATCTTTGTCTGGTCACAGGGCAGCCTACAGATTGGGTTCTACAAGGATGCGGATAGCTCACCTTACTGATATTAAGCTTCCGGTCCAGGCAGATAACTCTCTCAGGATCTGCTCCTAGGTGGCTGCTTCACCCCCCGCCCCAGCGCCCCAGATCTCAGATTCAGAACCAGACTTGAGGCTCAACAAGGGCAGGGACTCCCCACAGGTCATAACCCCACCCCCAAATCACCTCCCAGTGGCTGGTTACTTCTGAAGCCATCAGGGCCCAGGGCCTTACTCTCCTGGTGGAGGGGCCACAAAGCCCAGTTAATGATCAGCCCCCAGGGCAGGGGTGGAGGGTGCGGGCAGGGACAAGTCCAATCTGAAAGAGCTCCCACCTTAAGACATTCCTAGATCTCTGGTCATTCTTCCCCAATCAGGAGAAGGCTGTCTGGTCCTATAAAGCCAGAAGAGAGGTCTGAAGGGTCCAATGGTGCCTTATCTGCCAAGGTCTTCAGAGGGCTGAACCCTCCCTGCTTGTCACAGGATTCAAGTAAGGATCACTCTGAGGGAGAGGGAAAGCAGGGCGTGAGCTGGGGTCTCCTGGAGTCCATTTCTTTGCAGACCCTTTAGGGCTTGGCTGCTCCCCCAGCAATCCCACCCCCTCCCTGTTCCATGGGCCCAGACCTATGGCCTTCCCCAGGGTATTGAGGCTCCATCTTCCTTAAACTTCTATTGCCATCCATAGGTTGATGGCTCCCACATCTGCATCCAGCCTAGACCCTTCCTCTAGGCTTTCGTCTCTGTAACTACTTCTCCCTGGGTCGCACACAGGCGCTGTGACAAAACAAAGCTTGGTATTTTCTCGTGCCCAAATTTGCTCCTCTACTCTTCCCTTTCCCCAGAAGTGGTACCACCATGATAAAAGGAAGGCTTGTGTCCTTGGCTAGGGTGAGAGAGGTGGGAGGGGTCTACATGAGACCAGACTCTGATGATGCCATAGATGGGGCACCTGTATGGGTAGATGTGGGGGGCAGGGGAGTGGAGAGAGGAGGGCTGGGGCCTGGGGTTCTGGGCATTTGAACATCTGATTGTGCAGCTGGAGGTGAGCAATGCCTGGGGCTGATGAATTTGGAGGAGTTGCTGGATCTATAAGTTGGGGACTGGAGAGTTCTGTGCTCTCTACAGCTGGCTGGGAGCTTGGAAGCTTGCACTCCAGCCCTTGCCCTGCAGTTGGTTCTATCCTGATTCTCTGGGTCTCATTCTCTTCTGTATAACAAGGACAGGGGGTTGGAAGTGGATCAGATTGTTTTAAAGGACTCGGCAACTCAGGCTGCAAGGTTTTATCAGACCTGAGTCTGGGGGAGAAAATGCGGTCAGTGGGGCTGGGGACTGGCCCTAGGCCGGCACTATTAATCTACCCACCTCCTGTGGAAGCTGGCTAGTGTCCACAATAATTGACGTGCAAGAATTAACTGCTGAGTAGGCCGAAGGACCTGCGGTGGGCCCACCTCGGCCACCTCTCTGGCTTGATCTTCCTCTGTGCCTGACTGTGTGCTTAGTCCCGCACCATGGGGCAGCAGGAAAATCGAGTGGCCTCTATGAACCCAATAGCAATGGCCAGATCCAGGGGTCCAATCCAGTCTTCAGAGCCAATGATCCAAAATTATCTGAATCGACCAAGGCCTACCTGGGAAGAAGTGAAAGAACAACTAGAGAAGAAAAAGAAAGGCTCCAAGGCATTGGTTGAATTTGAAGAGAAAATGAGAATTGGAAGAAAGAACTGGAAAAACACAGGGAGAAATTAGTAAGTGGAAGTGAGAGCTCATCCAAAAAAAACAGAGAAAGGAAAAAAAAAAAAAGAAATCTGGTAGGTATTCATCTTCTTCATCAAGCTCTGCTTCTTCCAGCAGTTCTTTGGATTTTGAAGATGAGGATAAAAAACAAGGAAAAAGAAAAAAGAGAAAGAAGAATCGTTCGCATAAATCTTCTGAAAGCTCCATGTCGGAAACTGAATGGGACAGTAAGGATAGTTTAAAAAAAGAAAAAGAAGTCAAAGGATGCAACTGAGAAAGACAAGGACATTAAAGGACTCAGCAAAAAAGAAAGATGCGTCCTGAAGATAAACCTTTATCGTCTGAGTCCTTATCAGAATCAGATCATGTTGAAGAAGTATGAGCAAAAAAGAAGAAAAGCAGTGAAGAACGAGGAAAAGAAAAAACAAAAAAGAAAAAGAAGCATGAGAAACACAGTAGGAAGAAGAAAAAGAAGGCTGCTAGTTCAAGTCCCGACTTGTCATAATATTAAGAAAAATCAGGATTCCTTTATAAAGAAAGTGCAATGTCTAAGAAAATTTCAACGGTGAAAATTATGACATAATTACTAACATGCATGAATTTTCTTGTTTTTAGAATTATTACTGGTCTATTCAGTAGCCACTCGGATGCCTCCGTGTGAAAGGGCCATAACTGTTGCCTGCTGCTTGAACATCAGTTTTTTCTCTTCCAGTGCTTAACAACTCTGGGAGATAATACATTGCAGTTGTGCTAGTGGTTAAGATTTGGGGATAAAATTACTATTTTTGACTCGAAGTATCTAATGATACATCAACAGAAATCGAATCTGGATATATCATTTAAGATGTAATTAGAAATGACCAGATGACTCTAGTTAACATTTTGGAAATAGGGATTACACTGATATTTCAAAATTCTTATTCAGTAGATAAGTGTATTTTAATTTTTCCCCTTATATACTTTTATTTACCTGGGGAAGGAGCTTTTAGGTTTGGGGGGGGGGGTTGCTATCTCTTTAGCTAGAAGAATAGCGTGCCTTTTATCCTCACACATCCTGTTTTTGTGGACACAGTAGCCATGCTTCATGGGGAGGTCAGAGCTGGTACAGCAGTCTTGCCCTTAGACATCCTTGGACTCTTGTCATTTGCTGCTTTAAGTGAACCAGAGTAACAGCCTTTTGCAGCACGACAAAGCCCCAAAAGTTCTGGGATTTACCTCCACTTCAATAATACTGAATGTTTTTTAGCATTAGAATGTGTTATAACATTTGAATTAACTTTGACTACACTTTGGCTCTGGAGAGGAATCATTTCAAATAGCCATTGGTACTTTTTGAACTTGATAGCTAAAGATTCTAAAACGCAAGTTTTACATTGTTAGTTTTAACCGGTCAGGAAAATTTTATGTAACCCGTGATAGTTATTTTATTTTTGTATGAATTTTGTTTAGGCTGCCGTGTTTAGCTTTTATTAACCCCTTATTCCTGCTCTTAAATTCCATACTGTGGTTAATGGCATACTTGCCAAGATACTTAGCATGTAAAACAAAAAAGCAGACTTCTAATTTTTTCTTTTTTTTAACAGCTTCATACTGAAGCTGAATCTTACCATAAACAAGTTGAGTGGCAAGCCTGGTATGCTGTGTCTTGTTACATAAAGCTATTGCCAGAATCTTAGTAAATATAACACTTTAGAAACTTGTCTTTGTATATTCATAACAAATTGTGACAAGTTAAGTGAGAATTACATTATTGCCCTTCCTGTGTCATATTTTACTAAGAGTTTGTGCCTCATATCTACTGCTGAATTGTTTACTAGTAACGTTAAAAGGAATTGAAAAATCATTTTCACTTTACATTTTTATATAATCCGGTAACATGACATATAATTTGATGTACAATTTTGCCTATTACAGAGGGTGTGCTAAGTATAGTGGTATATGCACAAAACATTTTGGCATGACAAGAGGCTGAATAAATAGCTATTTTACTTAAAAAAAAAAAAAAAAAAAAAAGAATTAACTGCTGAGTGGCCTTCGCCCGATCCCGGCTCCACTCCTGGGCCACATTCCCTGCTGCCTGACCTACTGCCCGTCTCCTAGGCCACTAAACCGCGGCTGTGCCCCTGGAGTAAGGCAAGGGGGACTGTAGAGCGGAGCAGAGGCCTGAGCCAGACCAGGAACGACTTCCTCTCCCAGGTATGCCACTCCCCACCCCTTTAGTAGAGGCAACACACCCCGCTGTGCTCTCAGCATGTGCTAAAGAATTTGCTGCACCGAGAGGATCCACTTTGCCTAAATCCTAGAGAAATCAGAAGTGGAAGCTAAAGGCCCAGAGCAGAGCAGGGTCTGCCCAAGGTTAAAACCACAAGCTGGTGTCCACCACCGAACTAGAACCAGCGGACTTTTACCTTTCAGCACAGTGCTGGGTTCTTAGCGCTTCACGTCTGGGGCCCTGGGTTGTGTGTGTTCAGGGTGATGGTGGTTGGTGGGGGCATAGCTGCACCAGTATCTGAAGCTGAGACTAGGAATGTGGAGAGCAACTTGCAGAGTGCATAGGTTGCAGGGAGAAGAGAGCTCTGACTCTAGAGAGCAACCACCACAGCAAGAAAAACTACTGACCGACCAGGTGGGGCCCACCAAGCCTGGGGAAGGGCCTTCTCAGCCTCCATCCAGGCCTCCCTAGTACTCTCCATCAGCGGCCTCCATGAAAGCCTCAGCACAGCGAAGGTGCAAGGGACAAAGCTGAAGGAGCTCTGGAATCGAGGGGCCTGTATCAATCTTGGGGGGTCTCTATTATGGTAGGTGGGGCACATCCCTCAGCCTGAGCCAACTGATGACACAATCCGTGCCCAGCTGACTCTCATTTGTTAGGGTTTTCTCCCCTACACTTAGTGCTCAGATGAGGACGCTAAAGCTCAAGATAATTTGAGTTATTTTCCCCCAAGGTCAAGCCAGAGGTGGTGTGTTAGGGCTGAGAACTGTGCTCTAAACTGCTAGACCGTGTTTCCCCAAAGAGCCTGATCCAAAGAGTCACCTGGTGCTCCCGAGAGTACTGATTTGTCTTGTGACCCAATCAGTGAGTGATTGGGTCATGAGAAAGATGATTGGGTCCTGGAATGAATGAATTACCAAGTGAGAGAATGAATAAACACTGGAGTAAATAGAGCAGCAGAATATTGGATTGTGGAAAGGTGAGGGGCGAGGAGGAGAGGGGAGGTGGGAATTCAATTCCAGGTTTCCCAAGCCCTGCCAGGCAGTCAGCCTGGAGGCCACCCAGCTCAGGTCCCGTCCAGGAGGCCAAGGAAGCTGCCTGAGCTCCACAGGACAGGGCGGGGAGGGCAAGGCAGTGTGGAGACAAGGCAACTTTGAGCAGAGGGGCGTGTGCGCTTTGGGAGCCATGGGAAACGAATGCTAAACTTTAGGAGAGCCCAGGCGCCTGGTGACCGGTGGGGTGAAGGAACGGTCAGTTCCCTCCCAAGGTTCAGTGCCTGAATTCAGAGGATTCAGGTGCTACGAAGGCCAAAGGGAGGCCAGCTCTGTGGTCGGGGGCAGGAACCTCCCCAAGGCCCCGGAGGCTGTCCAGCTGGCTGCCCACAGCCCTCTGTGCCCTGGGACATTCCCCGAGGCGCAGGATCTCCGGGAGAGGCCAAATGATGAGGCTGGGAAGGGCTGGAACTGGGGCTGGGTTTTGTTGTCTTGTTTTAAACTTAGGTCTGCGGCTTATCTGGAGCTCCAAAACTGAGGTTATTGTCAAAGTTTGCACAAAGTCATTTGGTGTCAAAATCTGACCTGAAAATTAATGTGAGGTTATTATAGTTTTTATTTCTCCCACCAGTGTAGCTATTTCAGCACAGAATGTATGCTTGACTGTTGCGTGCAGGTGAATTGTATTACCTTTTACAAAATCCTAAATACTTGAAATTCTGAAACACTTGCCTCCAAGGATTTCAAACAAGACTGTGGACCTATGGCAATCTCCCGGCTATTTCTTCATTTTGCCCAAACCCCATCCCTTAGTTTCATCATTTGATCCTCCTGTCCACCTGGAGAAGTCACTAATGACACTAGCAAGGACTGTCCCAGAGGGCAGTGTCTGATCCCTTCTCTCCCTGAGGCTATGAAGATAGGGGTAGGGGTGGGGCATGACGGGGCCCAGGCTTCTTGGAGGCTCCACCCACCTGGGGCTATTCCCACACACCTGGAGGCCCCACCTCTGCTTTTCTTGGTGCCACTGACCACAGGTCTTCCTTCAGACACTGACATGGCCCAGCTGGTGACAACAGAGTTGCTGCTCCTTCTGGCGGGGGTGGCCGCAGTGTGGGCAGCCCGGCCCAGGACTGAGCTTCTCAATGTCTGTATGGATGCCAAGCACCACAAGGAAAAGCCAAGCCCAGAAGACGAGCTGCATGAGCAGGTGGGCAGAGGGGTGATCCGAGGTGGGGAGGTGCTGACTCAGGAAGAGGGCAGCGAGAGATAGAAGCATCAAACCCTTTCCATGGTGGAGGCAGGAAGGCCACCTGAGAGACTTTGAGTTTGCACTAATGCGGGCAACTACTGGCTTACCACATCCTGTGTGCCCAGTGTCGCCAGTACAATGCCAGCACCTCAGCTCCTTGGTTGTTGGGTTTCCGCGTTACACAGATCAGGAAGCACGTCCAGAGAGGAGCCTGGGAAATGACACAGGAGAGACCCGTCAGACACATCAGACCCATGGGGCTGATTTTGATTTCAGAGTTTAGACGGAAACTGACCCAAGAATCTGAGAGCAGCAAATGCACACAACACATTGTGGTTTCTTTCCCTCCAGCCCCAAACAGCTCGAGAAAAGTAGATTTCTCACAGTCTTGAGGCTGGGTGTGAGGCACATTGATTCATGCATCTAGCAATCATTTCCACTGGGGCTCTTGACCTTTTTGTTGGACCTGAGGTCTCTTTTCTATGAAAATTATTTTGTCACAACCCCTTTAATATCCTGGACCTATCTAAGCATTAAAAAAAGCAATATGATGCATAACTGTAAAGAAAACACAAAAGGGAAGTCACTTGTAAAATGCATTCCAATATGTAAATGTTCATTTTGACCTCAGTAGCAGATAATGATCACAGTCCCCAGTTAGTGTTTGCTCAGAATCACTGAGCCTGCAGCTAAGTGACGGTGTAACTTGCATACTTTGAGCAGCCTTGATTTTAACTTCTTTTAAAGTGCACGTTTTTTTGTTTTTATTGTGGTTTTTTAAGCTTTTTAAAACAATGTTTATCTTATTTATTTTTGAGAGAGACAGAGACAGAGATAGAGCATGAGCAGAGGAGGGGCAGAGAGAGGGGGAGACACAGAATCCAAAGCAGGTTCTGTGCTGCCAGCACAGAGCCCCAGGCAGGGCTCGAACTCACAAACCGTGAGATCCTGACCTGAGCCAAAGTCAGTCACTTAAGCAACTAAACCACCCAGGCGCCCCTAAAGAGCACATTTTAATATTTTGCTTTTAAACTGAATTCTAAACTATTCATTCACTGTTTTGAGTATTTATGTAATTAGATCTATTCTGAGGTTCCAATTTATTTAGCTTGCCTCCTCACCTCTGGGTCTTTGTCACCTTCTAAATGAGGCTTGTCTGACAAGTCTAGAAAACTGCCCTTCCCCATCCCTCTCCCCTGCTTAATCTCTTTCCAAAGCAGTCGATGAGTTTTCATTGTTATGTCTCTACCTTCTGGGTTAGAGTAAGTAGGAGCTCAATAGGGATTTGGATTATTGAATTTTATAATGGCTGCACTTCCCCCAAAGAGGGTCCCCCAGTGGCAAGTATTTCTCTGAAAGACTGACTGTGTTAGGGGATAAAAGTGGGAGGAGTCTTGGTAGCTCAGTGAGTCAAGTGTGGGACTCTTGATTTCAGCTCAGGTTATGATCTCATAGTTCATGGGATCGAGCCCAATGTCAGTCTCTGTACTGACAGCGCAGAGCCTGCTTGGGATTTTCTCTCTCTCCCTCTCTCTCTCCCTCTCTCTCTCTCTCTCTCTTTCTCTCTCCCACCCCCAAGTAAATAACTAAACATTAAAAAAATAAATAAATAAAATAAATAAATAAATAAATAAATAAATAAATAAATAATTTAAAAAAGACTAAAGGGGGAGAGGTTGCGCATGGGAATACTGTGGCTGTGCCAGGCATGGGAGTTAGTGCCTGTGTCTCCCCCACCCAGTGCAGCCCCTGGAAGAAGAATTCCTGCTGCTTTGCCAACACCAGCCGGGAAGCCCATAAGGACATTTCCTACCTGTACAGATTCAACTGGGACCACTGTGGACAGATGGCACCCGCCTGCAAACAGCACTTCATCCAGGACACCTGCCTCTATGAGTGCTCCCCCAACCTGGGGCCCTGGATCCAGCAGGTATGAGTGTCCTCCCCTGGACCCCCAACTTTGCAGAGGAGCTAAGCCTCCCAGACAACTCCTCGGGCTGCCTCTCCAGCTCTCTCTTCAGGGCAGAGCTGCCGAGAATCTTGAACCTGAGCCCTTCTCCACTCACCTCTCCCAGGTGAACCAGAGCTGGCGCAAAGAACGCATCCTGAACGTGCCCCTGTGCAAGGAGGACTGTCAGCAATGGTGGGAGGACTGTCGCACGTCCTACACCTGCAAGAGCAACTGGCACAAGGGCTGGAACTGGAGCTCAGGTGAGGGCCTGGGCAGGTCAGGGAGGGAGAGATTTGGAGGCAGAGGTGTGGGGTGTGGAGTTGGCATATTGGGGCTCTGAGATTGGTGGAAACAAAGTTAGTTCTGGGCCCAGTGGCTGAAGGTCTTCCATCTCCCCTACAGGGCATAACCGGTGCCCAGTGGGAGCTGCCTGCCACCACTTCCATTTCTATTTCCCCACGCCCGCATCCCTGTGTGAGGGCATCTGGAGCCACTCCTACAAACTCAGCAACTACAGCCGAGGGAGCGGCCGCTGCATCCAGATGTGGTTCGACCCGGCCCAGGGCAACCCCAACGAGGAGGTGGCCAGGTTCTATGCCTTGGCCATGAGTGCTGGGGCCATGCCCCATGGGATTGGGCTTCTCCTGCTCAGCCTGGTCCCCATGCTGCAACTCTGGTTGCTCAGCTGAGCTCCTTTTACCTTGTGATACCTGCACAGCCCTGCCCTGTTCAGCCCCATAGCTCCCAGCTATTCACTTCCTGTTCCTTGGATGGGGGTGGGGCTCTGCCCCACGTTTGAATAAACCAGACACCCAACGTGTATTAAGTGAATTCTTTGGGTGTGAAATTGGAATGTGACTTTTGCTTTCAGGTTCCCGCTGATTGAAGCCAGTTAGACTTGGTCAGTTCCAAGTTCTGAAACTTACTATGAACTTTCTAGATGTTTAACTGCGCTTATAACCTAGGACATATTCATAGCTCTCAATTTCATTTTTTGTTACAGCTCTCATCTAGAGCCAGGCCCAGAATTTTATTTTATTTTATTTTATTTTATTTTATTTTATTTTATTTATTTTTTTTAAGTTTGTTTATTTTTCACAGAGAGAGCGCGCGCATGGGTGGGGGAGGGGCAGAGATAGGGAGACACAGAATCTGAAGCAGGCTCCAGGCTCTGAGCTGTCAGCACAGAGCCCAACGCGGGGCTCGAACTCATGCACCTCGAGATCATGACCTGAGCCAAAGTAGGATGCTCAGCCAACTGAGCCACCCAGGTGCCCCAAGGCTCAGAATTTTAGAATTTGAATTGGACCTATGT